ACATTATAACAAGGTTTCAGTTGCTCCATAATGAAGACTTCATCAGAGAGTGAAAATTATTGGCTCCCCTGTTGATGACTTTTACAAAAATCTTAAAAGTAGAAAGATTGCCAGCTGGATTAATCTTCCTGTGCACAGTCATTTATGAAGCTTTGAAATTTTAACCATTGGCAACAAAGCTATAATTGAAAAAACTCCAAGAATATCAGTTCAATGACAAACAATGGTCTGCTAAATAGAGACATGCTGTCCTGACAGCTCTGCTTCAGCTATATGATATGATATGTGCCAGCAAAAGCAGAGAAGACATTTTGTAGCGTCATAAAACTGCTTCCAAAAATGAGCACCCTGCAGCTATTAGAAACTACGTGAGAATCACCAAATGTCAGCCTCGTGCTCAACAACATTCAATGTAATAAATGGATTTAAGAAAGTGAAGAGCGTAAGATGCTTCAGAACACCCTTAAGACTACAATGATAATAGTGAGATCTTGAGAAAAAAAAAGAAGCAACTATTCACCACAGGAAAAAAAAAAAAAAAAAGGGGAGAGAATTTTGTGTCCCGTTTTTGTTCCCTGGGACCAATTAAGATCATTCTGTCATTATAATTGTCAGCCCTAGGAACAGTATACGAATGGTAATCAATTTACTGACACATCCTAATATTGATGGTCAAAGGCCTGCACTGTTAACTGCCCCACATTGTTCTGGCAATGATAAAAGTGAGATCTTAAAAAAAAAAAAAAAAGAAACTATTCCCCAAGGAAAAAAAAAAAAAAAAAGAGGGAGAGAATTTTGTGTCCCGTTTTTGTTCCCTGGGACCAATTAAGATCATTCTGTCATTATAATTGTCAGCCCTAGGAACAGTATACGAATGGTAATCAATTTACTGACACATCCTAATATTGATGGTCAAAGGCCTGCACTGTTAACTGCCCCACATTGTTCTGGCAGTTAATGTTGTTTTCTTCTGAAATTTCCTTTTCTAAGACAGCTATTTACATTTATCCAAATCTAAAGTAAAAAATGGACAGTGGGCAAAAGGAGTATCTCTGTATCCACCATGTGCTAGGGAACTGGCTGGAAAAAAATCAGAATAATTCTTTTTTGTTCTGAAAAGTGTTATTGAAATACTGTATGACTTCTTATTCTTCCCTCCCTTTCCATTTCTTCTCCTTGCCCTCGATTCCCACAGCTGCTCCAGCTCTGAGTGTAACAGTTGAGGCGAGAGGTGTCAGGTACGTCAACAGGCACAAAGTCATCCCTGCACCAAACATTTCCTGGTAATGCCAAACAGAGCCCAAAGAAGAGGAAACCTCAAGAGTTCACTAAAAGACACTGAGTTTACCAGGCTTTTGCTAACATTTTTTTTCACAACAGTGCAGCAACTGCTAGAAAGGCATGTAAGACTTACTTGTCCCACAGAAGTCCATATGTTGGTCCAAGCAGGAGTTTCTGATCAGAGAAATTTAGTTTCAGAGTGAAGTTTCTTCACCCAGACAGCTCTACTGGGAATATTACAAAATGCTGTTCTCTGTGATCCAATTAATTTTTAAAAAAAGTAGCTGCACAAGTACTGAAAGGTTTTACCCTCAGCTAAAGTACATGAGTACTTACCAGATCTCAGAGGTCTAGTACTTTTACCATTAATTTCTAATTAACTGACATCAGTTTCTATGAAAATCATGCCTCCTAAACCCCGCAGTGAAACCAGAACTGTAACATAACAGCAATCAAAAGCTGAAATTAGTATCTATTCTCTTTCATAGGCCTGCACAAGGCAGTAAAGAATATGAAAATATGGGAAGGGTTCTTCTTTGAATATTCTCAGTTAGCAATAGCTGCCTGTAAAAACACCTGGTATTTGGGTAACTCCCAAAAGATCCAAAAGCACATATGGACTATGATAGAAGGAAGTTCAAAGCCCCATGCTTGGATACAGGTTTTTACATACACAAATATTCATACACAGAAAATGAGAACGTGTTTGAATATTCCATGGCTGTAAGGTACACAGCATAGAAAGGCAGTCTTTTTACAGGAAAAAAACATGCTACTACACTGCAGAGATTACCCTGTAAACTCTAATACTTGATTTAAAAAACAGGCTAAAGCCTTACCACGGCTTTCACCAGACCCAAGATTTACTCTCAGGTTGTCACTATTTACTTACTATTTCAGATGCTTGAAAGTATATTCCTTGGCTGCTATTAATACATGCACATTGAGTCAGAGAATCACACATGGCACAGTAGACACGGGGTTGCAACACTCAGCCTTGATCCTTCTGCAACTGTGATCATTCACCCTGCGTTTCCCAGGCTCGGCGTACAGGGCTGAAACACTCACATCGAGACTCATCAATGGCTCTCCCTTACTTACAAATGCTCTAAAGGCTCCCAATGACCTAGTTTAAACTTAAACCTCACACCCCACATAGACACATCACACACACATGTATACAGGTTCACTTTTATGTTTGAGCTAAGACAGCTTTCTGGGTAAAGAAGGACAAAAATAGAAATACCTCATTATATGCCTAACAACAAGGTAGAAAATATGTAGATGAAGCATATGCCTGATGGGGAAAAGGAAGAGCAGGAAGACGGGGGTGGGTAGCTTGAAGCTACTTTGAAGCCTGTGACACCAGAGTAAATGCAAAAGGTTTGTTTATCTGTAGCTGCATTTCACTGGGGGATTTAGGGGATGGGAAAGGAATAGCAGAGAGAAATTTAAATACAAACTGGATCGGGTGCCTGTCATTTTAAGATCGGGAGGGGGAAGATGGGTCTGCAGTAGCTCAGGAGAAGAAAGTGTTTCAGGCAATTGGTGATTAATTGTGCTCTGCTATGCCACATCTCTTTCTATTAAACCTTAGATAGCCAAATCTGTTTCCTAATTGTTTTTGTGTTTCTCAGTCTTCCTTTTGTCTTGCATAGGAGTAGGCAATTTCTGTGCCATCAATATCTCATTAAGGGGCCTGGGATGTGATATGCCTTGTTTTGTTTTTAATTTTGCTTTCCAGGCTTTTTGCTACATTTTATGACATAGCATTTTTTTGTTTGCTTGTTGCAGTCCATTTATTCTCTGGCATTCCCTTTCTCCAGGTTATAGCTTTATTTGTTTCCTTGCCTGTTGGCACTCGAGGTGTATGTAAATTAGTGTTTTATGCTTCACCATCACTACCTATTGCTCTTCATTTCCCCTAACGACATTCTCACCTGAATGCTACTGCCTGCTCAGGTTGCCCATGTGTAGAAAACAACTTCAACTCATCTGTGAGGTCTTTCTTTTCTTTTTTTTTTTTTCCCCTCTCTTTCCTATTGCGGTTTCCCTTAGACTTGCATTCATGAAGTAAGGAATACAGCACGCTTTCTGCCTCAGGCAAAATCCTGCTGCCACTAGTGCAAGTAGCAGCTTAGAGGAAAAAGGAAGGGCATTCACACAAATAGCTAATCAAAGGGTTTTTAATGATACTCATTAGGAAAGAAATTCATTAACAAGCCAGCACAAGAACATTCCCTGAAGGGAGGGTGATGTTATTGGTCACATCAAAGTTCCCACCTGACTAACACCTTTATTGCTGTTCATAGTAAGGCCAAGTTAGCAGCAAAATTAGTCGCATTCAGTTCCTGATAAGCAAAAAGTCAGCAAAGCATGGTCATTGAAACTGGATCAATTCTGTTTTACTAATAAGAATGGCTTTTCAGCTTTTCACAGGGATATGTAGTTGAGCCCCCCCACTGATGCTTTTGAATTCGTACAATTTCACATTTCTTACCCTTCATTCTCTGCCCTCCCCTCCCGCCTTGCTACTTTTATGTTGACACCACTGGCTCTGTCCGAATTGGTGGCCATGGCAGCGGTGCACCCATGGCATTGCAAACCTCACATGGACGGATGGATGCCAGTGCCCCTTTTGGAGCAGAGGTCTGCAGAAGGCAACCTCATGGCAAGGTGCAGCGAGGAGCCATGCTACACTGTGGGCAGATCATTGTCCACCCGGACAAAGCACCAATCCAGGTACCCCAGAGCTTACACCTACTGCTCAGGGTAGACACAGCCTCCGAGCATCACAGACATTTCCAACTTGCAGGCACGTAACCGCCCTTTTTTTATGCTCACACCATTACTTACCTATAAAAGAGACTCTCTATTTTTCTGCCAACTCATTCCTAGAGATTAGTATTGGTATCCTGGGATGCTCAGTTGCTCTGTAAAAATTAGGTTTTTAAATAGACTGAACCAGAAATCTCACTTTTATTGCACTGCCCTGATACAGCGGAGCTCAGTTATTAGAACAAATTGGAGCAAGCCACCTCCCGGTTGTTATACTCACATAATTGCTACAGGCTGATACACGAAACCATGCTTCACTCTTGTGCTTAGAGGCGAGATCTCCATTTTGCAAGGACAGAGCAAGTTCTATTATGCGTTTTACTGCCAAAGGAGGTCAATTAAGTTTAATTGGTTCTAATTAGCACTTGCTCAAGCTGTTATGTTCTTTACCTGCATCCGAGTGGCTCTCCAAGTGCTGCACAATGGATTCCTGCTTTTGAACACAAACGAGAATTACTAATAGCATCCTTGAAAGCAAAAGATGCACTGATCAGCATAAATGGGAAACAAATATCAGCACAAATAGTAGCAGGCCTTTTTAGAGAAAAACCACAAACATTTCATCCCCATCTGGCTTTGATCAATTGAACTGAATGCAACTGTGCCCCTTGTTGTTGAAAGTTACGACACAGAAAGTACACAAATGTAATTATTCTCTACCATAACTTCTTTACAGCTGAAAGATAAGTACTGGAGAAGAGGAGTGGGGCGGTGAGGCGGGGAGAGTAGAGCAGCTCTGAAAAAATAAATAGATAATTTCATTTGTAGGTAAGACAAAATACTAAGAAAAGGAAAAAAAAAATCCCCAAGCATGTCCACCTGAAATGCTTTATCTCTAGGAATTTTGAGGACTGTTTTAAAAGGTTTGTACTTAAATGACAGGTTTGGGGGTTTGGTGGGTTGTTGGTTTTTGGTTGTTTGGGTTTTTTTATTTGTTTGTTGGGTGTATTTTTTTTTTTTCATTTTGCTGCAGAGACAGGAATAACTTCACTTGCTTAAATGTCAGTGTAAGCAATTTCAGTCCTCAGGCCGTGGTGAGAAACTGCCATCAAACTCAGGATGGTCTAAGACAGAAAATGAGAAGTCACATGCCAGAGAAGACACTGCAATGCTGAGGTGCACTATAGGAACTTATTTCCTGCTGGGATGTTCCCGGATGTAGCTACACAGTTAAATAAAGGCAGGCTAGAGAGTTCTAGCCTGGTTCTCACACTGACACTTGAGCTCAGAGCTAGCTCTCCCCAGATTTCCAGTCCACATCCACAGCATGTAGGCATTGCCCTACATCTCCTCTGGGTGCCATGAGGTGTCTCTAAGTTGTACCTGCTATTTTGGGTGGAGGAGCAGTTGGTAGGGCAAGAGGTCGGTCTGAAACAGAAGCAAAAAACGACCTAGAAACAGTACAGCAGATGTTTGGGACCACTGCTCTACTGTATTCCTCAGTCTCCTCTTAACTAACAGGGCATATATCCAGGCACTCATTGCATGCAGAGCATTACATGTCCCCCAGCACCACCACACCTCTTCTCTTGCACCCTGCCATGCCAGGCATCCCACATCCAGGGAACAGCAGCAGAACCGAGTAGCCAGACCATAGCAGGATGGCATCGAGACAAGGACTGGGGAGGGCAGTTCCAAAACATGAGATGTGCCTGACTCAGTGGTCTCTGTGTGTACCACCACAATGCCTAACTCATCAGAGACCTTCCCTGCCTTGAAAAATTCCATCCTTTGTGACGTACCTTCCTCGACAAACGTGATGCCTGACAAGGTGTCTAGCAAGGGGATCTACTGAAACCCACTGAGCCTGAAGCCACATGTGCTTCCTATCTGGAGATTGCTGGGGTGCCAGCAGCCAAGGCTGGTGGCTTGGACACTCTGAACATACTCCAGTCCCACCAGGTTGGATTAATCACACATTAAAATAAAGTGCCAGATTTCATGTCCTGAGGATTTAGGCCTCCTATGGACTTTTGGTACTTTATTTTGGTGTGGAAACCAAAAGCAATGAAGCTTATATATATTATCAACATACTTCAGAATTACATGTGAAACTGTAGTGGGCTTGGCTGATTCTAAGGCAGTGTATGTGTTCTTTTGTTTTTTAGTATTGCTCTTTGCCATCTTTCCTGCTACTTGAATGTACCTCCTAAATGAATTGTCCATTGCCCACATGGTTTTCAAAAATAATTTATTTTTCGCTAATGTGTTCCAGATAGATGGAACACAAAACATGTGTCAAAAAATAAAAAAGAAATTAAAAAATCCTCCCCTATGCAAACAAGTTTCCCCCAATCTTTACAAAAGAAGGTATATTCTTTCCTTCTAGCTCCCCTGTTAAATTTCCACAAGGCTATTAATCATAAAAACCCAAACTGCATAAATTGTAGAAAAGCCAAAGGAGCTGCCCGTATCTTCATTTTTTTTAAAAAAAAAGTTCCTGCCAGAATGTTCCCTAACCCAATTACCTTTCCTCTGTCAGTTGTGAGGACTCTTTCTCAGCCTTAGTATATACCTTTTCTCCTGGCTGGCAATGTATGGGCTGAGACAAGCATAAACCAGCATATCGTTATTTCAAATAGTCATTTCTACCTTTTGCACTGGTGCATAGTTAAACCAATATACTTAAACCACTCCATGCTCCTTTTCTTTTGTACTTTTCTGAAGGAACGGTGTTTCTCTTGTATTTCAGGTGACAACCAAAAGTTATTCAAACAATTTACTGACTTGGATAAGGACTTGAGAAATAATAACTAATAAAAAAGAAATGTCTGTTGTTTGCATCACTGATATGGCTGCCCGTACAGCAATACACCACTGAAGTACATGTAACAATTTATTATTTGGTCCTTCAGCCCTCCTGCATTTAAAATTGAGCATATAGTCAATTCAAGGATTGAGGAAAATTTACCTAGCATCTATCTACACATTCTGGGGATATTCTGTACTGGATTGGCAGTATCTCCACCAGTATAAAACCCCAAGTCCAAGGGTTCAGACCCACTGAATGCAGGTTTTACAGGTCCACTACTTTATGGGCTTTAAGTAAAGTAAGCTGTGCACTTGCAGTCCTTAGTGTACAGTGAGATAGTATATCTACAAGCAGAGGATGTATCACTAGAATAGCTGTATCAGCGTAATTACATTGGTACAACTATTCCCAATATAAACAGGACCTTACACAGAAATTCCTAAGACAGGTAATGTTTACCACTGGCCTATTTAGCTCTTAGCATAGTTCAAAAATCTTTGTATAAAATGTTCCTTGTTACCTGTAAGTGGACAGTGATGATTATAGCTCAGTCTATGTTATTATTGCCTGATTTTCCCAGTTTGGGTTTTCACATATTGACTCCTTACTCAAGGTCTTTTAACATAGATTTGAAAGGTGAATATGTTTTATTTTTTCCCCAGTAAATATACAATACACACTTCAACAGTACTATTAACCAACTTTTTATGCCAATTAAACTTTGCTGCACTAACAATACCAATGAAACACATTAAGAGGTCATACTTTTTCGTGAACAAACTGTAGCCAATAAACAGTTTTTTAAAAAAACAAATTAAAAAACAATTCTAAGTGCTGCCACAACATCCCTTTTCTTTAAACACAGTATTCACAATAAATGTTTTCAATTTTTTTTAAAAAAAAGAAGAATACTTCTTTTAAAATAGTAAATTAAATGGCATTTTAAAAAATATGTACTGTGGTTCATTGGAAGTACACTGTATAGAAAAGAGAGAGAGAAAAAAAAAAAGAAGAGACATCACCTGTAAGATAATGGAGACACTTTGCGATACACAACAACATCTTATGTAATATTGTAAGCAAATTATTAATGAACAAAAATGTACAGAAGCAGATGGACAAGTTAGTGAATATTATGGTACTGCACAGCTTTAATACTGACACACATTTACTTTCCAGTGGAAGAGATAAAACACGTATTTGAAAGTAATTAGGATGGCTTTAACAACGTCTAATGATACTGAATTTTGACTAGAATATAGTGGGTAAGGTGTTCCACCAAAGCTCAGCACAAGCTTTTGAATTAAAAGGAAAAAAAAAAATCTATGGTGACTGAGTTAAACATTTTCCAGAAAATTAAATTTGAACTGTACTCTGAATAGTCTTCTCTTCATATGATAATACCAAACTAAAAAACATATATATGTAAATATGATGTCTTCTTTATCTTGCTTGAACATTTTTGCACATTTTTAAGTAATGGTTTTAACTATAATAGTTTAACAAGCAGGAAAATTACATATATTCATTGGTCACATATATAAATAAATGCATACATTTTTTTCTCAACTTTTTTGGTTTGTAACCCGCTAAATAACAGTCTTGACCTTAAGGAAGTTAACTAGCATTTTTTTTTTAATATTCAATAGTGCTGAGTTATAGTTGATGGCTGTAGTGTTTTATCTTATCATGGAACAAGTTAATGAAATGAAAAGCAACACATATTTAGCGCTGTAATTTTCTTTTCTAAAATTCTGCCATTACTAAAAGTGTTCTTAATACTGGTGAGCTCCAAGGCAATATATAAAACAACATAGACTGGTTATACGAAAAGGGTATTCAAATGGAAACATGTTCGTGGTCAGATAACTAACAGAAATAAGCTGTAGGATGCAATATTTAAATTAAGCATCAAATGAGTGGGCTATCCACATACAATATTCTAAGAAAAGTCTGACAATTTACTCATTGAGATTTGAGAGGTACAGAAGATTTGGACAAAGTCATGAAAACTAATGAAGAGACAGGATGCTGTCATTAATGTCCACTTACAGAGTTTGGTTTATTCAAAAAGTGTATAAACATGCGTTATTTCCTCATCGTAGTAGGGTTTGAAGTCACTCACTAGAACACAGGTGAAAGATTTTCTTTGCTTATATCCAACTTTTTGGATATATTGTATTGCCAGAAATGTACTTAATGCAAGTTGAAAATAATTTGACAGTTCCTTTCCTTCCAAACACTAAACATTTTACTAAAAATTTAGTGGATCCAGCTTCAGCTCTTGCAGACTTCAGGTAACACAACACAAAGGTTTGTTTAGACTGCATCAAAACAATTAATGTCATGAATTTCAGTGGTGCAGCTCTATCCTCTATTGAACTGTACATGTATTGGAAAGATGAAATAATATACCCTGACATTTAAATTTTTTGGAAGCAGCCTGAATATGTCTTAATAATAGATTGCATCCTTAACTACTTACTAAGTATTCCTTGAGTTTATATTGTTTGTTTCTCCTGGGAAATCTCTGCCTTATATTTTGGATTGGAGAAATTAATGGTAATAATTCTTTTAAAACTGCAATATAAAAACAGCTTTAGTGAAACACCTTAAGTTCTTTTGTTTCTAGCAAGATTTGTTTTTCTTCCCTTTCACTTAGTGGCATGGGATGGCTAAAAACAGATACTAAGGGCATCGTTCTAGTGAAAGGGTCTAGGCCATCTCATGCTCTCTTTAATTTTCATATTCACTCTTTAATCTCATACTTCCAGCTTCTGACCCCTTCTTAAATAGGAAGAGCAACTATGTTGCTTGGTTTTAAAAGATTTAAGTCTGTCTCTAATGTCTTCACTGACAGCAGTTTTGCTTGTCACTTTCTCATTTCTACACCCCAATGGAAAACCACCTAACATACTCCTTTACATCCAGCATTATCCAAAGTAGCTTACAGTACGTAAACCTTCTTCACACATTCAGTCTCTTTTTTTCTTCATGTCATGAGGAGTAGAGTTTTGTGCTTATCACCAAATAAAATTGCAGTGCAAACTTTAAACATAAAAGTTACACAATTAAAAGTTAATATATGGCACCACAGCCTATTAATTCACATATAGTACAACAGACCAATAAAAACGGACATGAATATGAACATAGCTAAAAAGAAGGTGAGCTTGCATAGCAATGCAATGAAAGAAATTATATACAGAAGGAAATCCTTTTCATCCTGGAGGGTGATTTTTTTTTTCTTTCTTTTCTATATACTCCTGACAAGGAATAGTTTAAGGTGGATGGTGTATTAAAGAGAAGAACACAAGTAAAGTATCTGTGGGATATGTGTGGCTGTGTGTCTTTACATTGCATTTACAGTTCTTTTAATAGTACATAAATAAAGAAAATGTTCATTGCACTGTTTAGTGTCATCACTTCCATGAGTTCAGACCTGATGGTCCATCAGAGCAGCTTGCAATGTGTCTTCTCAACTACTCTATAAAGAGAAACAAAGAGAGAGAAAGAGATTGTAATAAGGAGAAGAAACAACAAACAAAGCCTATGGCAATATTACTGCAACACAGGATGAATATTCAACGGGTTGGGAGAAGAGAGTTAATTGCTTCTAAGCTGAAAAGTGATGGATGCTAAAATTCAGCACTTACCAACACCATATCTGAGAGTGCACATTTCAGGCTTTGTGGATCACCATTAGTTCTCTTACAAGCTATTGGGCAGTAACTGTTGGGAGGTATTGAGGGTTTCACTGCAGCAAATAGGAGGCGGACGTGCCAACAGCTACATTGCTTTTACTAGTAAACATACCAGTATGCCTGAACTAGCTGTGATGTTGATGTACTACTTCAATCAACAGAGTCAAAAATTAGTACTACCATCTAGTAGCATCTAGTACTACCATCACATACACAGCATTAATATGGTTTTCTACAAGATTTAACAGATATTGAGTGATAGTAGAAAAATAATTCCCCTGGCCTGGAAAGCTGATGAAAGAGCTGGGATATACAACTGAAAAACTGGGCTACATAATCAAAAAAAGAGGACCTCCATCTAAAGTCAAAAAGAACAATACTGCTCACCAAGCACCCAAAAATTAAGGAGAAGGCATCAGAAGCTTGCCACTATGCCCAAAAAATTCAGCACCCTTCTCATTCACTCCTCTGAGAAAAACTACCAATGGCCTTTCCAAGAGAAGCACACCACACTTTGTCAAGAAAATTCTAAATTACTAGAATTTATTTTCAATTTACCCTTTGTTCCACTAGCATTACACACTGAAAGATGTACTATGTAGATAACGTTGGTATGGTTTACACGGATTTGAACTGGTCCAAACCAAAGAACGGAAGAATTTCATTTGTTTGTCATCACAGGCAAAACACCTCAGAAGGCAAAAAGATCTGGGTAAAATTTAATCTAATTATCACACTAAACTTCCTCCTCTCCTCACAATGGATTTATAAATTTTCTCATTTTTTCTATTTGAGATTTTGAACTGTAGCTAGAGATAAACTTACATAATTCACCAGTAAACTGTCCTTGACTGTTTGATCCCACATAGCCTACATCGAGAAGGTCACTGGCATTGCGTTGGTGACCTCCTCGCAAGACTTCACCTTTTCTAGGTCCGGTCGATCCTTTAGAAGAAGCTGTTCCTGAAGAGCTGTGGCCACCAGGGGATGGGAAGTTGGGTTTACTATATGGTACGAGTGCCTCTTCTACAAAAGCAAAACAAAACAAAACTGAATAAATACCAAATAAATTCCTATACCTAGAAATAAACAAATTATTCTTACACAGACATCATATTCATTCCTGCCCTCAGATATCTGTCTTTTGTCTTGCTTTATAGCATGGCAGTATTGCCTAAGAAAATACACAACTCAGTGTTGTATTCCAGAGACAAAGAAACCAACATGAATTTAGTCTTGCTTTCATGTAAACTCATAAGTTAGTTTGTATTAATTATAAAAAGTATAGACTCATTATGAATAGATCATGAATCATACATACGTTAATAAAAATAGATGCACATACAATTTCCAAAGCAATGCAGCTATGATTAGATTTTTGCTGCAAGCCTACATGAATGTGCTTTTTCCTTTTCTTTAGTTTAAATTATGGCAACGTTACCTCAATCAATTTAGATAAAGAACTACAATATCAGTTAATTTAATTAGCTTCCAGCAGGTCAGTAATTTCTAACAATGCAAAGTACACTGAAGATTTTTTTTACTGGTTATGAATTACATTAGAAAATATTATATTATACATAATATTAGTAGTTGTAATATTTGGGGTGAGCAAATCTTCCTGCAGCTTGTTTCATGTTTCATTATGAGCAAAAGGCTTACTTTTGCTCACTTGGCCTCTTCCTTTGTGAAGACCTGTACTAACGAACTGCTTGCTAGAGCAGGATTAATACCCAATAAACCTTAGGACTGCATGTCTTCATGTAGCATGAAGCAAAACAAGACATCACATCTGATTAGAGTTTTCAGGAGATATTGTTGTAATAATCCTAGCCTCAGAAGCAAATCAGCAGCACTGATTTAACGCTGAAATAGAAGCACTATTTTATTTCTTTGCTGTGTGTGATCCAATTTTTCTGTCTTAGAAGCTGAAGAAAGAGATATTGCTAAATATAGTTTGATTCAAGAAGGAATATGAGTATGTTCGCTTAACCTTAAACACAGGAACTGCCCCTTCTGAAATCAGTGGGATATCTCCTGCTTGAATCTTTTTTAAAAGTGAATCTGAGCTGAAAGGTTTTTTATTTATTTTGCTTTTCCCATTGTCTTCACTCTTAAACAATTTGATGAGGGGAAACAGACTTTCTTTGGCAGAGGGCAGGAACACAGAAGGAAAAGCAGGTGGAGATGGTTGGAAAGAAAGAGAAGATAAAAATGCTTTTATTCACAATCTTGAAGCCTTTGCAAAGGCTGCAGCAGAGGCACAATTAACTCTGAAAAATGCTAAATGAGAACAAATTTGTGGAAGAAACCCAGGATTTCATTCTTTGTGCCTACTGCCACAAGTGAGTAGGACACGGGAATTCCCCATGTGATCTGCTATTGAACAGAACCCATTTGTAAGGTAAATCTGTTGCAGAAGAGAGCAGGCAGCTGACTTCTTTCTCTGCCAAAGTATCTCCCTCTGGTCCTGCCCAAGGGACCAGAATATTTGCGCTGCAGGACGTAAGGGCACTATCAGTGTTTTGTGCTATGACCATGTGCTGTCCTTGCTGAAATACAAAGAAATGCTCAAAAGACATTGTAAAATGGCATTTAACAGCCATAACCTCCTAAATTATGTTACCTGTTCTTTATATATCAAGCTTTAACAATAGAATCAGATGCAAACCTGGTTTCCAAAGGCTGGCTAAAATATGGAACAGCTTGCATTAAGGCAGCAATAAAGCAAGCAGCATAAATCAGTTTAGCAGAAAGCTGGATACATTTTTAAAGGATGGAAAGAAAAGTCACTAACATTGCAAAAGAGTTTGAAGATGACATATATGGTCAATTGATTTGTTTTTCTAGTTTGTGGACTCAGGATAAGGCCTCCTTTGGGTTCAATGAAATATTGAGAAAAAACGACCATGAATAAATATAAAGTGCATTATCATTATAGAGCATATGGTGTGTTAAATTATCTGTGGTGCCCTCAGAAATAAATGCAATCCATAAAATAAGCAATTGTGACATAAAATAAAGGCTAAGTTTTCCACAACATTCTAGCACATGAAAAGTAGTTGTCTCAAGTCCTTAGAACGGGCTCACATTTATTTATTTATCAACAGTGCCCCATGCCCCAGGCCTGCAAAGAATATGGGGAGGCTTGCTGATGCCTTTCTGTTTGAAATACTGGGTCTTTAATTTGAAGATATAATTCTAGCCCCTGTGTAAACAAGATATACGTGTGTAATGATGTTTCAATACCCCATAAGATAACCAAAATGCTTTTAATATTATCAAAACTATTGTAACTTGATCCAGCTCTACTTTCTTTAGAGGCATAGCTGAGAATGTCATATTTGATGTGCTGTAACTGTGGTTCTACAAGGAAGCCATTGGCAGGGACTCAGTGATCTTGTTTATACTGAAAGCAACCAGTGGAAACCCGGTTCCCAGAACTAGGTATTTTTATTCTATTCAACTTCAAACCAAAGGTCTTGCTTTTAAAATTTCTCTCACAGCTTGGTAATGTCTGAATGAAGCCCCCTAAACTGCAACATAGCTATTTTCTGGAAGCTGATAAATAATAATAACTTCTTTTGAAAACATATTGAAAACGGCACAGAATAGATTTTCAGACATCTTTGTCATTAATAAAGGAAAAGGGAAGAAGCACAATTAATATTATTAAATGCCCCAAATTTAGTAATATAAACAAGCACCACACACAAGAGTAGCCTTTTTTTAAATCTACTGGAGAAAGGACTAGAGAGCAAGAAAGCTGTCATGCAAGAAGCTGGGATGAGAAAACAGACAGACAGATATGAAGCTCTGGCCCACCTTGTGAACAACTTTATGAACCCCTCCACCAGGGTAAAAATCGTAATATGTCTTAGAGGAATACTTTGTCATGCATAAAGGATATGCAATTGCTCTGGTGATTCTGAATTTGACAAGAACAAGACACCTGTAATCACTCCAGCCCTAAATTCAATGCTCTTCTAAGGCACTGGAAGTGTCAAGATCAAGTAATTTTTATTTAAGGACAGATAAATGCAATTCCTGCAGGATGGGTATTTTAATACTCTATAACCTCTGTATCACATAATAACTGACAACTTCTATTTGTCCACTTATGAGGCAGAGGAAAAGGAGTTCTTGCTAACCAGGCAAGAGAAGCGTCCTTAATAATAATAATTTACAAAGAAATTAGTTGTGTAAAGTATATTTGGGCTATTTTCTATGTGTTTGTACATCTTGTACATGGTAATTAAAATTGCCAATTCACCAAGTGGCATGAGTTTCATGTACTATTTTTAAACTGCAACTTCACATATCATTTCACAACATGAACTAGCACTCACTTGCTTATGCAGCTGAAAGATTAGGGAGTTTAACAGTACCATTATTATAGTTTAAAATATGTATCGTACTTAATATATTTACATTTTAGCAATATTTCCTAGGTAGCAATATTTCCTAGGAGGACTTTATTCAGTATATCCTGACCCCCTGATAGGTTTGCTTGCATACTACTATTTTTTTCAGAATGTCATTGATACTAGTGTGCGAGACTGATGAGCATTAACAGTAGAATAAAATCAAGAAAAAGATGGATAACATGAATACCTCTAGTGTTACTGTGGGAGCTGCATACATATTTGAAGAAAATGTGTAGCCCTACAGAAAGCTCCATGTGCAATATAATATTTTTTTAAAAAATCTTCTTAATTGTCCTCTTGCATAACTCTAATCAGCACTGGGATAAACATGCGATTAGAGGGTTAAACAAAATACCTGAGGTAAAGGGACCTGAAACAGCTGCATTCACTTGAGGTCAGGCTGGGAGAAGGAATCTGTGAATATTGTAGAACTACACCACCAGCTCAGCATCACCTCCTGCACACATTTTTACAGACTTGAAATCCATTTAGGAGATAAAGGCAGCACTCAGCAATGAGCAGGCCCTGTATAAAGGTGAAAACCTGCGCTGTCATCTTGCTGGGCTTAAGAGATGAATGTTAGTTTGTCATATCCTTGAATAAAGAGAAGGCAATGTTTTAAATACAGCTGGAAGGAATGTCAGTAGCTCAGAAGGATCAGCCTTCTTGCAGACGTGCAAAAAGAACTGCTGCCAATTTAGAAGCAGGTTGGAAGAACTAGAAAACATGGCCCTATATATATATAAATAAATACATCTAACAGAAAATACTGTAAAAATCTGTTTCTCCTTCCCTGCCTGCCTGAAACCGCTCCTGTTTTTTCCACTGCTATGCTTGACAACGTTATTAATTGCCAGAACACTGTAAAGAATGCACCCAGTCAGGTGCTAATGAGATTTCATTGTTGCAGGAGGGAAAATAGTTGGATCACAAGCTCTCGTTTCACTTTGCCCTTCCTTATTTTCCAGCCTGAGCCCCATCAGCGCTGGCACAGAGGGGTGTGAGATGGTCCTAGCCTCCTGCCAGATACAGAAACCCTCAGCTGAGAAGTGGCAAGAAGCCGTCTGCGTTGCCTCGGCTGGTGCAGCACACACACACCTGATCCGAAGGCTTGTTTGTGTTGGGCTTTCCTGAAATCCTCTTGGCGGTCTGTAGAGCTTATCCACTCCTGGGTTTGCCGCTGCCACTCTAGTGACGTCCTAGCTTGTCGGTCCAGGGAGCTCTTTGTTTCATCTACGTTCGGTGCATGCTGCCTCTCAAGAGAACTTCCTTTCCTCTCTGCCGAGCCTCCACGCTGGCCGGGAGCTATTTGCTGTCTTAAACCCTGACCAGGGGGTGGGTCGGGTGGTGGTGGAAGATCTAAAAAATGTGAATAAGATTTAGATGAGCTAATTTTTGTAATTGAAACAGAAGGTCTATTTGATGCTGAAAAGAAAAGTGCCTTGCAAATAGCATGAATCACTTCGTTTGCTGATTTTAAAAGGAGGAAATTTCACATTAATCAGAAAAGTGTTTTTACCTTCTGTTTGTTTTTAACTTAGGTTACTCTCTTGCTAGGTCTTTCTAACTTCCACAAAAATCAATGAACTCTGAGCCCTG